TTTGTACATGCTAGGCAAGCACTGTACCACTGAGACATTGCCCTATCCCATGCTTAGCAGATTTTTGTCACAATAAAAACATACCAATTATGCCTGTGGTCAGAGGACTATTACACATATTTGCTCCTAATTATAGTTCACTACTAAAGTACCAAAATCTCTGAATGGTGCTCCACCACTGAGTTACATCCCTAGTTTTGTTCTGTTTTGTTTTTAATTGCTATTTAATTGTAATTCGCAACTCTAAAGTTATTATTAAAATAGTTAAGTTTATTGTTTTGAATTTCAAAATTAAGAATTTCATAGTACATAAATAATTAAAGTGAATTAACTCATATCTTCATAGCTCTGTACACTTTTATTTTTTCGGTCTTTTTGAGACAGGGTCTCCCTATCCCCAGCTGGCCTGGAACTCACTATGTGGACTCACTCACAGAGATCCCCTGCCTTTGCCTCCCAAGCACTGGGATTAAAGGCATGTACCACCATACCTGGCCCAGCTCTTAACTCTTTCAAAAACTTTAATTGAGTTTTTGTGCATTTCATATAATAGATCTTAAATTTAGCCCCTCACTACCCATTGGATTTCATGCATTCTGTCATATATGTTATATACGTCCTTTCCAGTCAAGCATTTTTACCCAGCTTTGGTGAAAGTTCATCATCCACTGGAGTCTAGTCAGCCTATCTAGAGTCTTTCCCTTAAAGATCATCTACTTTCCCTCACCTGTGTTTTTTTTGTTGTTGTTTTTATTTTTTGAGATAAGAGTGTAGATGTGTAGTATAGGCTCCCCTCAAACTTTAGATTGTTCTACATTGAATTTTGAATTTTGGGATTATAGGCATGTGCCACTGTGCCTTACAGCTGATTTTCCTTTTTTTTTTTTTTAAATAAAATTTATTTAGGGGCTAGAGAGATGGGTCAGGTTAAGAGTGCTTCCTGCTCTTCTGGAAGTCCCAGGTATGGTTGCTACAGGGTGGCTCTCAACCTTCTGTAATTCCAGTTCCAGGGAATCTGACCCCCTCTTCTGGTCTCAGTGGGCATTGCATGCATGTGGTACACTTACATGATGTAGGCAAAACACACCTAAATATAAATAAATAAATACATCTTTTTTTTTTTTTGACACAGGGTATCCTTGTAGCTCCAGCTGTCCTGGAACTCACTATTGTAGACCAGGCTGACTTCGAACTCACAAAGATCTGCCTGCCTCTGCCTCCCAAGTTCTGGGATTAAAGGCATGTGCCACCATACCCGGCAAATAAATACATCTTTTAAAAATTTATTTATTAGCTTGAGAGATGGCTCAGTGATAAAGAGCACTGGCTGCTCTTGCAGAAGACCTGAGTTCAGTTCCCAGCTCCCACATGGCAGTTAACAACAGTTGGTAATTCCAATTTGGGGAATGACACCCTCTTCTGGCCTCTAGACATTGCATGCACAGGTGCACTTACATGCAAGCAAAATAGTCATATACATAAAAAAATACTTTCGTGTGTATCGTGTAGGGGGCATGCAGGCAGTGATGCACATATGTAAGTGAGAAGACAACTTCGTAGACTCAGTTCTATTATTTGTTTGGGTTCTAGGGATTGAATTCAGGTCACCAGACTTGTGCAGCAAGTACTTTTACCCACTGAGCTATCTTGTTGGACCTGCCTTTTTTCCCCCTTTTATTTTTAGTTATCTTTTTTTTTTTTTTTTTTTGGTCTTTTTGAGACAGGGTCTTCCTGTAGCCCCAGCTGTCCTGGATTCACTATGTAGACCAGGCTGGCCTTGAACTCACAGAGATCAGCCTACCTCTGCTTCCCGAGTGCTGGGATTAAAGGCGTGCGCCACCACGCCTGGCTTTAGTTATCTTTTTAATTAAAAAAATGTTTTTTTGATACAGGGTCTCATTTTGTAATCCTGGCTGGTCTGAAACTCACTATGTAGATCAGGGTGGCCTTCAACTCAGAGAGATCTTCCTGCCTCTTCCTCCCAAGTACTGGGGTTAAAGGTGTGGTCCACCATACCAATCTGATTTATGTAAAAATTTTATGTGTATGAGTGTTTTGCCATAATGTATGTATGTGTATTACATGCATGCCTGGTGCTTGTTGTTAGATTTAGATGGGCAGGAAAGGAAAGAATTTAAAGTTAAGAAATAAGAACCAGGGCCAGACTTAAACAGGCAAGGAATATGTCCTTTTGCTCAGAGGACACAGGAGCACAGAATCCATCTCGTGTGAAGAAGGCATGTGCATTGAAGGGAGGGGCAATTTTCAGTTTTATAGGAATTCTGCTGCACGCAGCTGGGAGAGTTAACTCCATGCTGGGGTCTGATGTCCTTGAGGGTCTCTCTCCCAAGATTTATTTTCTCAGATAGGCTAGGGCACTAAAGGAAACAGCCTGATTCCATAAACAGTCTTCCTCAGTTCAGGGAGTGACCAGTTCTTAAGGCTTGTGACCAGTTGATAAGTCTTGAGCAAGGCCTGCCAATTTAGAGCCAGTTAGCCACTTTAAGGGATTTATTGCTTTCCCTAATGAGCCTTCTATCACCTGTGGAGGCCAGAAGATGGTATTGGATTCCCCTGTAACTGGAGTTAGAATGGTTGTTAGCCACCATATGGATATTGGGAACTGAACCTGGGTCCTTTACAAGAGCAGCCAGTGTTCCTAATTGCTGAGCTATCTGTCTAGCACTTTGTACATTTATTTTGCTCTTGGTTTTGAGACAGGGTCTCACTAGTCCAGCTTCCTGAAACTTGCATAGTCCTCCTGCCTCTATGTTCTAGGATTATAAATATGTACCACCACCACACCATTTTTTTACTCCTTATTCTCTCCATCCCTCCCTTCCTTCCTTTCGACCCCCAACTCACTGTGTAGACCAGGTTGGCTCAGATTCACAGAGATCTTCCTGCCTCAGTCTCGTGAGTACTGGGATTATAGGTGTACGCTTCCATGTTTGGCCCTCTTTATTATTGTTCCTTGTTTGTAGTGTCAGACTGAGTACCGCACCTTGTGACTTTGTTATTTGTTCAGCCCTTGTAGGCTTTTTGTTTTCTTTTTGTTTTGTTTTTGTAGTTTGAAAGGACTAGTTAACCTAGCTTATTTTTTCTATGCCTCATCCATTACTAGGATGGAACCCAATCTGTACCCCTGAGCTATATCTATAGCTCTCTTTGCTTTTTATTTTGAGACAAAGTCTCACTAAGTTCCTCAGGCAGGTCTTGAACTCTCTTGTTTTAACCTTGACATTACAGACTTGTGGCCACCCGGCTCAGCATTATCATTACTTTTAGTGGTTATAGCTTGAAATTTATACAGTGAAAATAGGTTGTTTTACTTCATTTTCCTGCCATGTTACTTGATGTTTCACCAGGAAATAGTCAAGATCTTGGAAGTCTGTCATAAATGTATGGGATAGAAAGCACTGAGTATTTGGATAAAGGTGGGAAAAAGGTGGCCAGCTCCTTCTCCGCATAGAATACTACATTGCAGAAGAGTAGAGAGTATAGGTTTGACCCAGTTGACCCAGGCAGGCAGTTTTGAATCTTTTTGTCCCCCTGGTTTGTCTTAATCTAAGATTGCTCTGTAAAATATCTAATTTTAACTAATAATCATCTTTCAGAATTTTTAGGATTAGTAAAAGCTGCACACTGTTAATACCATGCCTGGGATATGATGTGTTTTCACTAAATGGTACTTAATAGTCTTTGCTATATGCATGACACTGTTTTTGCTTTTCAGTTTTTACTTTTCTTTTTTCTTGAGATAAGGTCTCATAGACAATACTCATACAATCTGAAGTTGAGTCCAGCCTGGTCTACATAGTGAGTTGGGTCGGGGGAAGAAGAAAGCTGGGTGTGATGGTGGTGCACCTATAATCCCAGCACAGAGAGTCAGGACGATTATGCAAATTTAGTATATCACCCTGAACTCGTGTGTGTGTGTGTGTGTGTGTGTGTGTGTGTGTGTGTGTGTGTTAGTGGAGATTGAACCTAGGACCTTGCACATGCTAGACTTGCATTTTGAGACAGAGACTTGCTAAGTTGGCAGGGTTGGCCTTGAACTCTTGATCTTTCTGAATGAGCTTTCCTTGCCTGGCTCCTGTAGCCATTTTCATATACAAATTGAAGTTTTCCCTTAAAATATTTTCTGGTGTATATATAATGTATACATACATGAGCATAAATAATTCTTTTTGAGGCCTGGAATATTGTTCAGAGTATGTCCCTAAGGCCTTAGGTTTGATCCCTTAGCAATTTTTCTCGTGCCACTTAAAATTATTACTACTTTTTGGTCTCTTTGAGACAAGGTCTCCCTATGTAGTCTCAGCTGGCTTGGACTTGCTATAGAGACCTGGCTGGCCTCGATCTCACAGCTCTGGGATTAAAGGGGTGCACTGCCATGCCAAGTCTAGCTTAAAATTATTATAAACAGTAATTTTACTACTTCAAAAAATATTTCTTAGTGCAGTGGAGTGGAACCATTATTTATATAAGCACACTGTAATTAATTTCAATCCAGTCACAGCTTGGGCTTAGAAACATTTATTGATGATTCCAGTCAATGCACTGTGAATGTTAGGAACATTCTTTTTGGTGAGTTTGAATATAGAGGAAATAGATACAGTCATTGTTCTTTCATGATCTTGTATTGCAGCCTGCTATAATTTTACAATATAAAAGTCCTAGTTAGCAATTGAAGCATTTTCACTTTATTGTATTTCTTTCCCTTTTTGTTTGAGACAGGGTCTCACTTTGTAGCTAGGTTTGTATGAAATTTACTGTTTAGCTTCAGACTTTGAGTGCTTTGGCTTTAGCCTTTGAGGGCTGGGATTATAGGCTTATGCTACCTTGCTCCATCTAGATTATCTATTTTTGTGTGCACACATGTATGTATATGTTTGTAATGCGTGTACATGTGTGGATGTACACAGAGGCCAATGTTTCTTTCATTGAACCTGGCACTCACCAATTGGATTTGTGGTTTTTCTTTGTTTTAACTTAAGGATGACCAGATCATCAACTGGCTGCTGGAATTTCGGTCTTCTATCATGTATTTGACAAAAGACTTTGAACAACTTATAAGCATCATACTGGTAAGCTCACCATTTGTTCAGCTGACTAGCAGGTAATTCTTGGGACATAGTATATATCTGTTAAATGTTTCCATTGTCTCTCTCATCTCTAGAAATTGCCTTGGTTGAACAGAAGTCAGAAAGTGGTGGAAGAGTATTTGGCTTTTCTTGGTAATCTTGTTTCAGCACAGACTGTCTTCCTCAGACCATGTCTTAGCATGATTGCTTCTCATTTTGTACCTCGTAAGTGGTTATTTTTTGCTTATAAAAACGAGCTTCCTTCTTCTCTCCTCCCTTTCCCTTGCTTTCTCTTCCTTTAACTTCCTTTCACATTTCCATCCTTTCTTAATATAAAGAGTTTGTTTTGGCTCACATTCTTAAGTTTGTTTTGGTTTAAGGTCAAGGGGACACTTCTAGTGGTGGTTACTTTACTGGCAGAGTCCTGATTTGGCACAGGGTATCATAAGTGGGGGCAGGAAAGGTACTTATGTGGATCTGTTGAATACATTTACTTATTTGTGTGTTTGTATACATGGACCAGGATGCTTGTGTAATGGTCAGAGGATAACTTGACAGAGTCTGTTCTCTTTCTACCATGTGGTTCTAGAGATAGAACTCAGGTTGTCAGGCTTGGCAACAAGCACCTTTACCTGTTGAGCCATCAGTCTGATTCCTAGATATAATTGTGTCTGTGTGTCTGTATGTATACATACATGGTTATGTGTGTATGGGTGGACATGTGTGCTTGTGCATGTAGAGGCTAGAATTAGAATGTTTATCCTTAGGACACTGTCTACTTTCTCATTTTTGAGATAAGGTCTCACTGTGTAGCCTTGACTGTCTTGGAACTCTCTATATAGACCAGGTTGACCTTGAGCTCACAGAGATCCTCTTGCCTTTTTCTAGAAGTGTTTGGATTAAAGGCGTGCACCACCATGCCCAGCCACCTTTATTTTTTGAGACAGAATCTTTCACTGGCCAGGAATTTACCCAGTAGGCTATTCCTACTCAGCACTGGGCTTACACCTGGCCACCACACCTGGCTTTTTATGTAGGTTCTGGGGCTCAAACTCAGGTCCTTATGCTTGCATGACAAGTACTTAACCAACTGAGTCTGGCTGTGACTTTTAAAAAATACTAAAAAAAATTTTTTATGAGCGTTTTGCCTGTATATATGTATGCTGAGTGCAGTGCCCAAGAAAGCCAGAAGAGGGTGTCAAAACCTCTGGAATTGGAGTTATAGACAGTTGTTTGCTGCCATATGGGTGCAGGCAACTGAACCTTTGTCCTGGAAGAGCAGCCACTGCGCTTAACCACTGAGCCATCTCTCCAGCCCCCAGACTTCGTTAAAGTAATCCCTATCCCTTGCACATTGGGGATTTTTTTTTTAAATTTTTTTTCTTTTATGTGTATGTATGTCTTGCCTGCATGTAGGTAAGTGCACCCATGTCGTGCATTGCCCATGGGGAATAGAAGAAACTGTAAGATCCCCTGGAATTGGAGTTTACTGGACAGCTGTTAGCTGCCATGTGGGTGCTGGGATTTGAACCCGGGTCTTCTACAAGAGCAGTCAGTGTTCTTAACGGCTGAGCCACATTGAGAATTTCACAGCCACAGCTATTCTTCAGCCCCACGTTGAGAATTTTTCAGCCAAGGAAATGGTTATTGATGTTTTGGTTGACTTCTGTCTTCTATGGTGGTAATCTAGATTCATTTATAACATGATTTTCATAGGCTATAACTTATATTAGTGAGCCCCTGATAATATTTGAACTCATCTAAGATTTGTAACTGTTTAAAAACTAAAATGACTCAGTAGATGAAGTGCTTACTATACAAGTGTGATGACCTAAGTTTAATCCCAGAACCCATATACATAGTGAAGGAGACAACCAACTTCATGTAATTTCCCTCTGACTTTGGCATTGAGGTGTACCTGCCCACCCATCACAGATCCAACAGTTAAAACAAACAAAAGCCATCAATTTGTTTCACTTGATAGTTTTTTTCAGATTATAAGTTTAATCATATACTAGGTTTAGCTTTTTAAAAAATAGCTATTTATTATTTAAATCAATGATAGAAGAGTAACATATTTTCTTTTTTCCTCCAAAGCCCGAGTGATGATTAAGGAAGGTGACATAGATGTTTCAGATTCTGATGATGAAGATGACAGTAAGTATGAAAAGAATTAAAGCAAAGCACACCTCCTTATCTTATAGAATTCATACTGAATGAAAATGTCGCCCATTTTCACAAGCAGACAGTAACCAATGCAGACAGCAACAAATAACTTTTTAAACAATTTCTTTTTTCTTATTTTTTTGATGCATGTATGTGTTTTGCCTGCATGTATATATGTGAATGCAGTGTCTGCAGAGGTCAGAAGAAGGCCTTTGGAGTCCCTGGAACTGGAGTTATGTGTGGTTGCTAGCTGTCGTGGGTGCTGGAAGAGTAGCAAGTGCTCTTAACCACTGAGCCATCTCTGCAGCCTTTTTTTTTTTTTAAAGACAGATCACTGTGTGGCTCTAGCTGGTCTGGAACTCACGATATCTGGCTGATAACTTTGTTTTGTTTTTGAGACAGGGCCTGGATTCACTGTGGAGACCAGGCTGGCCTCTAACTCACAGAGATCTGCTGCTTCTGCCCACTAAAGGCATGTGCCACTAAGGCAGTTTGATACATTTAGCCTTGGCATGCAATCAGTCACCCTAAATGTGTTACTAAATCTTTCTCTCCCTTCCCTCCACCTCATCTTTTTTGAGACAGGGTCTCCCTGTAGCCCTAGCTGCCAGGTGTTCACTGTCATGTCTGTTTTATGGGGTCCTGGAGACTGAACTCAGGGCTTTGTGAACACTAGGCAAGCACCCTACCAACTGAGCTACATCCCTAAATGCTCCCCCTTTATCTTTATATAGGGTCTCGCCGTGTAACCTAGACTGGCCTCCAATTTAGGGCAGTCATCCTGCCTTAGTCTCTCAAGTGCTGTGATTACAGGCATATGTTACCCTGACCAGCTAAAACTTCCAGCTCTTTCTAGAGGAATCTGTACAGGAGTGACATAATTAATCCATTTAATCCTTATTGATAATTGAAGAAAAATCTTGAAATTATTTCTTTAATCAGTTTTGATTAGCAAGTGTTAAGCTTCAGGTTCATGATTTTTCAGTTTTAGTTTTGATGTTCCTACTCTCAATTTTTCTCCTTGTAGATCTTCCTGCAAATTTTGACACATGTCACAGAGCCTTGCAAATAATAGCAAGATATGTTCCATCGTGAGTACACTTTTATTACTTTGAATCATAATATTTCTTTCTTCTTTTGTTCTTTTTTTTGTCTTTTGAGACAGGGTCTTCCTGTAGCCCCAGCTGACCTGGAATTTTTCTGTGTAAAAAATTGTCTCACTGTGCAGATCAGGCTGGCCTCGAACTCACAGAGATCTGCCTGCCTCTGCCTCCCAAGTGCTGGGATTAAAGGCTTGAGCCAGTACTCCCAACTGTCCTGGAACTCACTATGTAGACCAGGCTGGCCTTGAACTCGCAGGGATCTGCCTGCCTCTGCCTCCCAAGTGCTGGGATTAAAGGCGTGTGCCACCAGGCCTGGCCTATAATGTTTCTTTTTTTAAAAAAATTATATTATTTTTATTTTATGTGTATGAGTATATTGCCTGCGTGTATGTGAGTGCACCCGTGTCATGCAGTACTCAAGGAGGTCAGATGAAGGTGTTGGATCCCCTGGAACTGGAGTTATGGATGGTTGTTATCCTCCATGTGGGTGCTGGGATTTGAACCCAGGTCCTCTGCAAGAGCAGTCAGTGCTTTTAACCTGAGCCATCTCTCCAGCCCTGTTCTTAATGTTTTAATAGGCTGGGGATTAGTTCTGATAGAGCATTTGCTTCTCATGTATAGACAAAGGTAAGGCTCTGGGAGCTCTGTGGCAGGGGGTAGGGAGGGTATGTGGGGTAGGAGGGGAGAAAAGAGAAAGTAGATTATAAAATGTTGATGGCATCAAAACCTGAGCTATATATTGTTTTTGCATTGTGTTGATGACACATTATATTTGAAAATGGTTGTTCTGTTTTTTATTCATTACCTTTATTTAAAGTTTTAATTTAGTGTGTGTGGGCCTGTGTGTGCATGTGTGGAGGCTTGGGGACAGCTCCCCAGGGTAGGTTTTCTCTTCCTACCATTTTGTATCTGGGGCTCAAACTCAGGCCATTAATCCTGAGATGAAATGCCTCTATCTCTTGAGCCATTTCATTGGCCCCTTTATTTTGAAAACTTAAATGTAGTGTTCCTTCCCACCCCTGTTTCGTGTAGTGGTTGGAATTTTGCTTTTATCTTCAGATATGACATCCAAATATTTTATTGACACCCCTTATGTGCATTTGTGCCATGCCATATGAATAAAAATTGAAATTCTAAGAAAAGCTTTGTAGGCTTTTGTAGGGTTTTTTTTTTTTTTTGGATGAGTAGACTTTTTTTGAGGTAGGGTTTCACTATGTAGTTCTGGCAGACCTGAAACTTGCTGGGTAGACCAGACTGGTCTTTAAATCAGTTCCTCTTGCCTCTGTCTCCCGAGTACTGGGGTTGTGTGCCCCAACAACTGGCCATGGAGATGTAGGCTTCAAATTCTTGTTTCATTTTTGTTGACTAAAAAACCCAAAGCTGGGTTGGCATATTATACTGTTTGGAAGGGTGGAGGCAGGAGAATCATGCTGTCCTGGCGATACATAGTTATTTTTTGGTTTTTTTTCTTTGAGACAGGATCTCTCTGTAGCCCCAGCTGGTCTGGAACTCACAGACATCCACCTGCCTCCCAAGTGCTGGGACTAAAGGCATGCACCATGGCCGGATAACACAGAGTTTTATGCGAGCCTGGGCTGCATAAGACCTGGCTATACATAGTTTTTATGTCAGCCTGGGCTATACAAGACAACAAGAAGAACAAAAACTCTAAGTTTATGACACCCCATCCCCTTTTAAATATTTATTTTATTATTATTATTGTTATGGTCTTTTTTGTGTGTGAAACAGGGTCTCGGTGAAGTCCCAGGTGGTCTGGAACTTACTATGTAGACCAGGTTGGCCTTGAACTCAGAGAGATTCGCCTGCCTTTGCCTCCCAAGTGCTGGGACTATAGACGTGTGCCACTGCACCTGGCTTAGTTTGTTTTGTTTTGTTTTGTTTTTAGGTATGTGTGTATTGTGTGTGGGTTTGTACATGTGAGTGCGGTGCTAGAGTTACAGGCACCTCGTGACTTCTCTCCATTTTTAAAATAATATACTTACATACCGTTAAGTGTTTTGAATCTAAAATGTATTAATCTTTTGTAGAAAAACAGGTGTTTTGGTTTGCTGTTGATAACAAAATTAATAAAGCATTTTCTTTTTTTTTTCACCTAAGTTTTAGATTTTGCTCTGAAACATTGATTTCAATCTTTAAAAGCTTGAGTAGTTGAGCCTAGAGGCTCAAGCCTTTAATCCCAGAGTACTTGGGAGGCAGAGGAAGGTGAATCTGTAAGATCAAGGCCAGCCTGGTCTACATAGTGAGTTCTAGGCCAGCTGGGACTACAGGGAGACTCTTGTCTTCAGAAACCAATGGTGGGGGAGGGGGAGTCTTGAGGTAGGAGTTCCTTTTTTTGCTGCCTATAACCATTATTTGCTCTTAAGAGTGGAAATTGAAATGTTAGTTTCTTAGAAGGTCCAGTTAACATGAATTGTTTGAATTTTTTTTTAATAGAACACCCTGGTTTCTTATGCCGATACTAGTGGAAAAGTTCCCATTTGTGAGAAAATCAGAGAGAACATTGGTAAGAAATTCATGGAGAAAATAATGGGAAGATTGTTTCTTGACTCTGTTTTAGATGGTGTTATTTTTTATTAAAAATTGCTTTCTTAAAAAAAATTACAAAAACAAAAGTTGCAACCAGGTATAGTGATACATGTCTTTAGTCTGAAGTACTTGGGAACCTCTTAACATTTTAAAATCAAGGCTAAATTTCACTAAGTGTGGAGCTTATGTCAGGAGGATTTCTAGGAGTTTGAGGCTAGCCTGAGCTATAGTGTGAGACCCTGTTAGAAAAGAACTAAAAGAAAGAAGGCGAAAGGGAGGGAGGGAGGGACTTAGGTTTTCTCAGGTGTTTTTTTTTTTCCCCTTTTTTTGAGACAAGGTAGCCTAGGTTGACCTGGAGATAATCCTCTAGTGTGTGATTTCATTCTTAAGGAAGTAACTCCTTGGGAGTCTCAGTGTCTTTTTCTTACATTACTGTGTGTAGGTCATGGTCAGACCTCACATACAAGAGTTACCAGAAAGATGGAGGATGTAGTTCACTGACAGAGCACTTGATTAGCATGTACAAGGTCCTGGGTGCAACCCCCAGCACCATAAAGAGATAAAAAGAAAAATTACCAGAAGGTAGACATGTATAACTAATTACAAACATACCTTATTTGAACATGAAAGTAGGTTTATATTTGCTTATGCTATAGTTTTTGTGTGATATTTCTACTGTGTAGTCAGTAATTGATAGTGTCAACCTTTGAAGCATAAATTTCTTCGCTACATGTGTTTTATAAAGGAGTTAAAGACTTATTGTGCTTTGAATAGAGTATTATAAATCTCTGTACTGATTATCAAAATAGAAGACTTAGGCAAGAGGATCACTTTGTGTGTGTGTGTGTGTGTGTGTGTGTGTTTTTGAGACAGGGTCTCTCTGTAGCCCCAGCTGGCTGAGAATTCACAGAGATCTGCCTGCCTCTGACTCCTGAGTGCTGGGATTAAAGGCATGCGCCACCATGCCTGGCTGAGGATCTCTATTTTAAGGCCATCTGGGGCTCTGTCATGAGACCCTGTCTAGCAACAGATGAAAATAATTATCTACCATGACCACATATAATTTATCTTAGTAATGCAAAGTTGATGTAACTAACGTGTGCCATATTAGTGGAATAATAAACAAGACCCACGTGCTCTCCTTAATAAATACTGAAAAGGTGTTTGACAAACACAACCATTTCAGTACAAAAGCAGATGTCTATAGAGAGCACCTATAGACATCTCATAGCTAACATCAAACCTGATGATGAAAGGCCAAAAGCATTCTTAGGATAAGACATAAAATAAGGATTGAAACACTATCTGCAATTTTGGTCAGGGAGTTTCTCTCTGTTGACCAGGCTGGCCTTGAACTCATGAACTGAAGCAGTCCTGAAGAGCTGGGACTATGGCTCTGTGCTGCACATCCACGCCTGCTTCCTGTCTATTCAGAGTATTAGGCAGGAGAAAGCTACAGCGGAAGAAATAAAGCTCTTTTTGCAGATGACATGATTTTACACGTCATCCTAAGGAATCACACCCTCCCCATATCTATTAGAGCTAACTAATGATTGTGGAATGTAAGACTGATAGAGAAAAACTGTCATGGCCTGAGGATATAGTTCAGTGAAAGTGCGTGCCTAGTGTATGTGAGGTCTTGAATTCAATACTTAGTACTGCCCAAAATAACCCAAACACAAAGCTAGTCAATACTGGACAATTTGTGGAGAAGAGTAGAATTTTTGTCTTTTTTTTTTTAACAAGTGATTTAAAGGAGTTGACAGAAGATGAAGTATATGGAGCTGAACAATAAAGTACTTGCTGTGTTAAATGTGAGGGCTGGAGTTCAGGTCCCCAGAAAACATAAAAAGCCAGGCAGATGTGGCATTTGCCTGTAAACCCAGCACTCTGGAAGCAGAGACAAGGGATCTTTGGAACAAGCTAACTAGTTAGACTAGCTGATTGGCGAGCTCTGGATTCAATTGACATTATGTTTCAGTAAATAGAGAGTAATTGAGGTAGATAACTAATGTCTATTTCAGGCCTCGCCCTTATACCTCCACATGTGTGTATACTTAGATACACTTGTGCCTACAAGCATGCATATACATTTGCACATATGCCATATATATATGTTTAAAAAAAGAATGGAACTGGGTGTGGTGGAGCAGGCCTTTAATCCTGGCACTCAGGAGTAGAGGCCAATGGATCTCTGAGTTTAAGGCTAGCTTGGTCTATATAGTGAGTTCCAGGCCAGCCTCATAGTGAGATCCTGTTTCAGAAAAACAAAAATCATGGATATCCATACTGAAAAATGAATTAAAATAGATAAAACACCTAAATATAAGAGGTAAGACTAAACTCTTTAGAAGAAAACAGACATGACAATTAGGCAGTAGTTTCTGGATGTGACGTTTGCAGCACAAATAAGGGTAATTAACCTAGTTAATTAGAAAAATGGGCAAAGGCTCTGAGTAGACATTCTCCAAAATAAGCACATTGTAAGAAGCATCATTAGCTGCCAGGGGAATACAAATTAGACATATTTAACACTAGCAGCATCACTGTTCAAAAAGAGGAGACTATAGTAATGATGGTATGGATGTGAAGCAACTGGACCCTCACACATCATTGGTGACATTGCAAAATGCTACAGCCACTTTAGAAACCAGTCTGGCAGTCCTCAAAAACGTTAAATGAAATTATAACTCAGCAATCCTCTGCTGCCTATATACCTAATAAAAATGAAAACATGTCCACAAACTTCCACAGTAACATTCATTCCACAGTGACGTTCATAGCAGCATTTGTAATGGTCTGAATAAAGCTCACATTTTATCAAGTGAGGCATAGAGAAATGAAATGTGGCATATCTATATAATGAAACATTACATTCAGCAAGAAAGTACAGTTTCTATTGATAGTCTTTTCTGCTTGTTTATTTTTTATTTTTTTTTATTTTTTGGTCTTTTTGAGACAGGGTTTCCCTGTAGCCCTAGCTGTCCTGGATTCACTATGGAGACCAGGCTGACCTCAAACTCACAGAGATCTGCCTGCCTCTGCCTCCTGAGTGCTGGGATTAAAGGCGTGCGCCACCACGCCTGGCTTATTTATTTATTTTTCTGTCTTTTTGAGACAGTGTCTCCCTGTAGCCCCAGCTGGACTAGAGCTCACTATGTAGACCAGGCTGGCCTTGAAGTCACAGAGATCTGCCTGCCTCTTCCCGGGTGCTGGGATTAAAGGTGTTGTGCCACCACGCCAGGCCCTGTTTATATATTTAAATTAAAAGGTTGTATAGTTGATGTTTTGCTTATTTTCTGAAACACTGTACTGAAATGTTTATATTTTTATGTTTATGCTTTAGGAATGTTATGTTCATAACTTACTAAGGATAAGTGTTTATTTTCCAACTTTGAGACATGAAATTCTGGAGCTTGTTATTGAGAAGTTACTCAAGTTAGATGTAAGTATTGCATAATCTTGTTTTTATTCTTTGTTTTCATTTATGGAATTTATTGACTATAATATTTATATGTGAAATAACAATGGAAAAGAATTCAGTTCCACCATCCTCTGTTTAGTTTGTGTTTCTTGAACCCCATCTATGTGGTGGTAATTAATGGACAGCTCAGTCTTGTGGTTGGGGGAGCAAGGCACATATACTCACACAAAGGTTCAGGTACAGTTGTGGAAGTTGTTATGACTGAAACACATGCAGTGTGAGCTAGACCATTTCATAAGAAAGAAATAAGTGGACCAGGTATCAGGAGGGCTTTGTCAAGCGAATGCTTGTTGAAATGAGATGCTGTGTACCATTTTCTGTGTTTGATTTTCTTTTTTACTAGTGCGGGTTAAAGCTTTTTTTGTTTAAGGAGACCTGACCTCAGATGAAGGCAGTATGAAAGGAAATGGTGAAATATGTCAGCATTGTGAGGGAAAGGGGAGATGGGGTTGGCTGTAGAGAAGCAGAAGGTGAGGGGAAGGAAGCCTGCAAAAGTGAATGCCTATGGTATAGAATCTAGGTGCTGCCATTAATAGCCCAAAGAAACACCAAAACGTATTGCAGGTAGTGACTATTTGGGAGAATTCTCAACAAATTGTGGCTGGGAGACTGAGACTAGGCCTGTCAAATTAGGACAAGAGGGAGACCAAGGGTGGTCAGAAGAGGGAGGGAAATTTAAGTTATGGATGTTGGGAGCATCTGGAAAAAGGAATGGTCTGTTAGTACCGTCAAGGATGTATAAAGCAAAAGTCCTTGGATTTGGGCTTGAAAGATGGCTCAGCTGGTACAGTGCGTGTCTTGCAAGCATGAGGACTAGAGTTGGATCCCCAACATCTATGTAAATACCATAGATGCCAAGTAGGTGTACTGGCCTACCTCTAATTTCAGTGCTTGGATAGTTGAGATTATCTTGAAGCAAGCTGGTTAGCAAGACTAGCTGTATATGCAAGCTCTAGGTTCGATTGAGAGACCCTTGCCTTGGGGGATAAGGTAAAGAGCTATTGAGGAAGAAGACTCTTGTTTTTTGTTTTGAGATAGAGTCTCATTATATAACCCTGTCTGGTCTGGATCTCACTATATGAACCAGGCTGGCCTCAAACTGAGAGATCTACCTCCTGTGCCTCCTGAGTGTTGGAATTAAAAGGTTTGCACCACCATGCCCAGCAAAGAAGATTCTTTTTTTTTTTTTTAATTTATTTTCACTTTATGTGTATGAGAGTTTTGCCTGCATGTAAGTGCACCTGTGTTATGCAGAGATTATGGAAGCGAGAACAGGGCATTGGATCCCCCGGAACTGGAGTTAGGGACAGTTGTTAGCTGCCATGAGGGTGCTGGAAACTGAACCCGGGTCCTCTGCAAGAGCTGAAAGTCAGTGCTCTTAACCACTAAGCCATTTGTCTAGTTCCAAGAAATTCTTTTTGGGACAGGGTCTCCCTGTAGCCCCAGCTGGCCTGGAACTCACTATGTAGACCAGGCTGGCCTGGAACTCAGAGAGCTCCTCCTGCCTCTGCCTCCCAAGTGCTGGGTAAAGGTGTGCGCCACCACGCCTGGCCCGAGAAATTCTTGATACCAATCTTGGACCACTATACCCATGCTCCCCTAAACATGTGGCCACACATTTAGATGTATATGCACAACACAAAAAGACGTGAAATATAAAAGTACTTAAATTTGCTAACAGTAAGTAGTCTTTGGTGTTTTCTGAAAGGGTTTGCTAATGATACTCCAGAAAGTAGATTGTTAGAAAATGGGTGTGTTAAAAGTGTATGAGAAGGTGTTGGTGTGGGTCAGAATTGGGAACATTTGAGCAAGGTTGTAGCTTGAGGAGGTAGAACTCTGGGTGGAGGAACTGCTTTGATTTTTTTTTTTTTTTTTTTTTTTTTTTTGTCTTTTTTGAGACAGGGTCTCCCTGTAGCCCCAGATGTCCTGGAACTCACTATGTAGACTAGGCTGGCCTCGAACTCACAAAGATCCTTCTGTCTCTGCCTCCCCAGTGCTAGGATTAAAGGTGTGCGCCACCACGTCTGGCCCAACTGCTTTGATTTTTATTGATTATTTTTTATTTGTTTTTTTTGGTCTCCCCCCCTCCCTTTTACATTTAGTGTGTGTATGTATGTGCACATGTACACATGCAGTCTTGTGCTTGTGGAAGGTCAGAAGGCAGCTTATGAGGAGTCAGTTTTCTTCACCATACTGGTTCTAGAGATTGGAGTCAAGTCATCAGCTTGGTGGCAATCATCTTTACTTGCTGACCCTGATTTTGCTTTTTTGAGACAGGGTCACACTGTGTAGCCCAGGCTAGTCTTGAAATCAAGTCAGTCCTCTTGTTTGCTTCAGCCTGCCATACCAGCTTTTACTTTCCATTTTGGTTTTTTAAGAGGGTCTCACTTTGTAGCTCAGGTTAGTCTTGATCTGAAGAGCCTCCTGCCTCGGTTGCCCAAGTTTGGGATTACTGGTATGTGTTAGAACAACAGCTGACAAAAACACTTGGTGGGGGAGCATGGAGATGGAAAAGGCAGGTCTAGGAAGAGCTGGAAGTTGGGTATTCTTGAGGTTATACCTCTGGGTAGTTGCATACATAAACTCTGTGATAGCTCTTATATTCTGAAGGAATATTTTTATTTTATTTACTTATTTTTTTTATAACATCAGTCTTTTTTATTTTAATTTTATTTTATGTGTATGATTGTAATGCCCATGGAGGTCAAAAGAAGGCATTGGATGATTGTTAGCCTTCACATAGGTGCTGGCATTCAAACCCGGGTCCTTTGCAAGAGCAGCCAATGCTCTGTACCACTGAGCTATCTCTCCAGGCCGTGATTTGCAAATATTTTCCCCCTTCTGTGGATTTCCTTTTCATTTTTTGATAGTGTCCCTTGGTGCACAAGTATTCTTAATTTTTATTGTATTTATTTTTTTTTTTATTTATTGGTCTTTTTGAGACAGAGTCTCCCTGTAGCCCCAGTTGTCCTGGAACTCACTATGTAGACCAGGCTGGCCTTGAACTCACAGAGATGCCTCTGCCTCCCAGTGCTGGGATTAAAGGTGTGCGCCACCACGCCCATCTTTATTTTTATTTTTACAATGTCTAGATCATGCAGAAGAGACGAAACACTTCATCTTCATTTACAATGGCTCAATATTGTTTTATCTCATGTGTATAACTGAGAGACTAGGGCAGCAAATAAATGGGAAGCTGAAGGAACATTTTAAAATATGTCTAGAAAGATGCCTAGGTAGTAAAAGTAGGTATGATTTCAATGTTACAACAAGTTAAATAACATGCATGAGTGTCTTGGTCTTTGAAAGAGATGGGATTAATGTTTAATGTGCCGAGACTGACTAGAGTATCACATCACAATCACATTAAGTCAGCTGTGGTGAAAGAGATTGAGTTACAGTATTTCAATTTCTTTATGGGATAGTCTGTATCATAATTTTGTTGCAGTACTTTATGAGATGCTGATATGGAGCCCTTAAATACAGTGTTTTTTTTTTTTTTTAATCACAGGGGCTCCGGTAACCCCAGCTGGCCTTCAACTCACAAAGATCTGCCTACTCTGCCTCCTAAGTGCCAGGACTAAAGGTGTGCGCCACCACACCCATCTTTAAATATGTATTGTAGATGAATTTCCATTCCCAAATGATTGTAGCTTTAAATAGTTTCATTTATTTTTTGTTATGACATAGGTGAATGTATCCCGGCAGGATATTGAAGATGCTGAAGAGACAGCAGCTCAAACTTGTGGGACAGATTCTACAGAAGGATTGTTTAATATGGTCAGCATTTCCTTTAAGCCATTTATGGTCAACACTTTGTTTTTATTTTTCATTTTGAATCTCAATCCTTTTTTAAAAAATATTTTTATTATTTTATGTGTATGAGTATATTGCTTGCATGTAAGTGCACCTGTGTTGTAGAGGTGCCACAGTGCCTGTGGAGGTCAGAAGAGGGCATTGAATTTCCCTGGAACTGGAGTTACAGATGGTTGCTAGTCACCATGTGGGTGCTGGCAGGTCCTCTGCAAGAGCAGCCAGTGTTCTTAACTGCTGAGCCATCTTTATAGCCCTGAGTCTCATCTTTGATAATTATCATTTCTGGTAATAAAAGCCCATATTGGAGTTTCATCACTTCAGAGTGTGGAAAGTAACAGCTAACTTTCCAAGGCTTTCTGGTAAACTATTTTAATAATAGTTTAGGAGGTTGGTAAGTTGGTAAAATGCTTGCCTTGCAAGCATGAAAGCTCAAGTTTATCCCCCAGAACCCAGGTGAATATACAGGAAGGGTGCAGTGGCACTTGCTTCTAATTCCAATGCTAATGAGACAGAGATAGGAGGATCTCTGGGCTTGCTAGTCAGGGATAGGGCATAGTAATTGGTGAGGTCCAGGCCTGAGAGAGACCATCTCAAAGGCGGTGGCCTGTCATCTTGAAGATGACAGCTGAGGTCCTGTAGTCCCCACATGCATGTTTATATATATATATACCCACCAAGTAGGTATGATTACAAACTAACTAAAATAGTTTAGCAAACCAGAGAATGCTTCTTTAAAGGAGTAGATTGCTGCCTTTTGTTTATAGTTCAGGCTGATCTCCCAAGTGCTGGGATTATAGGCATGTGCCACCTTGCCTAGTGCTGTTATTTATTGCACGTAATTGGTTTATGTCCAAGGTTTGGTAGGTTTGGGTTTGGTGAAAGTTGTTTCACTTTCATTAATGATTGATTTTTCATTGTTTTTGTAAACCATAAGTATCCAAAGGAATAACAAATAGAAAAGCAAATCAGTTTACTTCATATGTTTTACCAGTTGTATACCTTAAAGTGGTCATTCTCTGTCTGAGGTGATGCCTAATGTGAAATTCAGTTGATGGAGAGCTTGAATTGGATTAGGTATTCTTGAGACCAAGCATAGGGAATAGCAAAGAGAAGGGATCGAGGTAAGTGAGAGCCTGGTTTCTTGGGATGTGTCAGGAAGTAACTGAAGCCTCTTGACTATCTGCTCTGGAATGGGAACTGCTCTCAGTTTAGTTACATCTTGAGCCTAGGGACATGGCTCTCTTTTTTTCCCATTCATTTATTTGTGTATGCATATATGTGCCATGGGCAAATGTGGTCAGAGGTTAGTTTGTAGGAGTTCTCTCCTTTTACCATGTGGATTCTGTGGATTCAATTTAGGTCATTAGATTTGGCATCAAGCACCTTTATCCAGTGAGCCATCTTGCTGTTCCTCTGGCTTTTTTTGACCTCTTGGCACAAGTTCTAAGGTTTTGGCTGGAGAAGGGAGACAGTGTGAGTTCATGGCAGACACCACAGCAGCTTTGAGATGAATAGCCAGAACTGAAAAAGGTGACCCAGCACCAGTGGTGCACCACAGTAGGTACTAGACAGGAGTGGAGGAACATGATGTTTTCATGGCCAGTTCTGTTTGGGAGAATCAGGGCTGGAGATACAACTCAGGGCTGGAACATATGCTTAGTGTATATGAGAATTCGGTTGCATCCTCCCAGCCCTCTACCTCCCCAGAAAAGAAAAAAAAAATCAAACTGGTGCTTATTTTAAACATCCCTCAATGAGAACCTGAGATGGTATCTGCATTTTCTCTTTCAGAGGAAATAATCCCTTATGAGGGTTTTTCCAAATAGTAAACTATGTTCATTTTGTAATGTCAGTTTTTACTTCTTCAAAGGATGAAGATGAGGAAACTGAACTTGAAACAAAGGCCGATCCTGAGCAGCCTGGTCAGATGGTTCATCCTGTAGCTGAACGCCTGGATATCTTGCTGTCCTTGCTTTTGTCCTACATCAAGGATGTCTGCTATGCGGATGGTAACAATTTATGATAGTCCCAATAGTTAGTGTTGTCATTGTAGATAAAAGTTCCCTTGAAACTGGACGTGGTGGCGCACACCTTTAATCCCAGGCAGAGGCAGGCAGATCTCTGTGAGTTCAAGGCCAGCCTGGTCTACATAGTGAGCTCTAGGACAGCTGGGGCTATAGGGCGACCCAGTCTCAAAAAGACCAAAAAAAAAAGTTACCTTAAGAATGAGATAAGAACAGTTTAAACAGACCAACTTACTTTCTTTTGTCACATAATTCGAAAGCAGTGGGAATGAGATTAAGACTCTGACATATTTTAAGGGGGGTTCTTTTTGAGACAGGGTCTCTCTGTAGCCCCAGGACTCGCTATGTAGACCAGGCTGACCTCACAGAGATCCAGCTGCCTCTACCTTCCCGGTGCTAGGACTAAAGGTGTGTACCACCTCACCTGGCTCCATGGCCCTGTTCTCTCTTAACTCTGAGCCATCTCTTCAGTCTCCCAGTGTTGTTTCTTAATGGTATTGTGTTCCTTTAAATATATGTATTTATGGGGCTAGAGAGACTGCTTAGCAGTTAAGAGCACTTGCTGCTCTTGCAGAGGATCTGGGTTCAGTTCCCAGCACTCACATGGCTGCTAATACCCATCTATAAGTTCAGTTACAGGGGATCTTATACCCTCTTCTGGCCTCTGCAGGCATTACATACATGTGGTGAACTTAGATTCATGCAGGCAAAACACTCATAAAATATAAATGAAAGTGTATATTTATGAAATTGAAATGTGAATTTTTCTGTAGGTAAGATTGATAACAAGACAAAGGATTTATATCGTGATCTGATAACTATTTTTGACAAACTCCTGTTGCCCACACATGCCTCCTGCCATGTACAATTTTTCATATTTTACCTCTGTAGCTTCAAACTGGTAAGTAAAAAATGGCATTGTCATACTTCATTTAATGACAATGATGATGATGACAATAACTGGGCGGGGGGGACGACAACGACAGGGTCTTTTATGTAGTCCTGGCTGGCCTGAAATTCACTATGTAGAACAGGCTAGCCTTACTTTGCCTTTGCCTCCCAAGTGTTGGAATTAGAGGCTTGTGCCACCATTCCTGTTCAAAGATTTATTTTATTATTTATAAAATCTGTATATATGTTTGTGGATATGTGCCTGTGGAGTCCAGAAGAGTGTGCAGGATCTCTTAGACCTGGAGTTACAGGTAGCTGTGAGCTTTCTAACATGGGTGCTGGGAACTGAACTCTTCAAGAGCAGCAAGTGCCCCATGACTGCTAAGTCATCTCTCCAGTCCCTATTTTTATTTTATTGCCCACAGCTTTTCCCTTAAACATTGTGTGAAAGAAGAGCATGAGGTACTTTTTTCCTTGAACTCATTTTACTAGTAGTCCTAATAAGGCTGTCATCTGTTTTCATTACATGGAAAGAAAACAGTGAAAGGGAACTGTTGAGCTCCCAGAGCAGTGGGGAGCACTGAAATATTATCCTGCTTTTGGACACTAGGTGGTGCCCTTCCTCATTTTTGTGGTGCTTCTAGGAATGGACTTCAGGTCTCATGCAAGCACTCTTAACAACTGGGCTATCCCAGGCCCCCTGGAATATTTAACTGGTTCCTTCCTTCCTTCCTTCCTTCCTTCCTTCCTTCCTTCCTTCCTTCCTTCCTTCCTCTTTCTTTTCTTTCTTTCTTTTTGCTCTCTCTTTCTTTCTCTCTCTCTTTCTTTCCTTCCTTCCTTTCTTCCTTTCCTTCTTCCTTTCCTCCCTTCCCTTCCCTCCCCTCCCCTCCTCTCTCTCTCGCTCTCTCTCTCTCTCTCTCGCTCTCTCTCTCTCTCTCTCTTTCTTTTTCTTTCTTTTCTTTCTTTTCTCCTGGAGCTGAGGACTGAACCCAGGGCCTTGCACTTCCTAGACAAGCGCTCTACCACTGAGCTACCCAACCCCTGATTTATTTCTTTATTCTCTCATTGAGTTTTTTTTTTTTTTAATAATGTATATGAGTGTTGTGCCTGTGTGTATGTAAGTGGACCTGTGTTGTGCACAGCCTATGGGGTCAGATGAGGATGTTGGATCCCTAGAACTAGAGTTACAGACAGCTGTTAGCTGCTATGTGGGTGCTGGGAATTGAACAGGGGTCCTCTGGAAGAGCAGCCAGTGCTGTTGACCACTGAGCCATTTCTCTAGTTCCCAAGTTTTTAAATTATTTATTTATTTATTTATTTTTGAGACTGTCTTCCTGTAGCCACAGCTGACCTGGAACTTGATTTATAGACCAGACTGGCCTGAATCTCACAAACATCTGCTTGCCACTCCCTCCCTTTGGCACGCTGAGTGCTGGGATTAAAGATGTGCACCACCATGCCCAGCACAATATGAGTCTTTTTTTTTTTTGACTGGGTCTCCCTAGTCCCAGCCCAACTGGAAAGTCACTGTATGGAACTGGCTGGCCTGCATCTCAGAGAGACCTCCAGCCTACCTCTCCCTTCTGAGGGCTGGGATTATAGGTGTTCCCTGCCACACCTGGCATATAGTATGAGTCTTAATCAAACTTTTTAAAAAGGTATATGAGTGTTTCGCCTGCATGGATGTGAGTGCACTGATGTCATGCGATGCCTGAAAAGGCCAGAAGAGGTCATCAGCCGTGTGGGTGCTGGGAACTGAACCTGGGTCCTTTGGTAGAGCAGATGGTGCTCTTAGCCCCTGAATCGTTTGGCCCCCAAATGTTAAAATTTGTTTATTTTATGTGTGTGAGTGTTTTGCCTGCAATTATGTAAATGTACCACATGGATGACAGGGAGGTCAGAAGAGGATGTCAGATCCCTTGGAATTGGAGTTACAGAGAGTTGTTAACTACCATGTAGGTACTGGGAACAAGCCAAATCTGGTGCTCTTAACTGCTGAGCTAGCCCCAGCCGAACATTTTTTTTTTTAAAAGATTAGTTGCTCCAGTATTAGAGATCTCTTTTTAAGAATTGTTACATTTATTTATTTGTTTGTTTATTTATTTTTGTGGGTGTGTACACCACATGTGTGTAGGTACCCCCAAAGGCCAGAAGAGGGAGTTAGGTCTCCTACAGTTGGAGTTACAGGTGGTTGTGAGCCACATGACTAGGGTGTTGGGAATTGAACTCAGGTCCTCTGGAAGAACAGCAGAACTGTTGAGTCACCTCTCCAGCTCTTATGTATGTGTTTGTGTATAGAGGTGGGAGGACAACTTATGGGTCATTATGGGTTCACAGGATGGAACTCAGGTTGTCAGGCTGCCTTTACTTGCTGAGCTGTCTTGCCAGCCCTCAACCAAATACTGAAGCCCATAGTTTAAAACTTTTGGCTTTCTCCTTTAAGCAAAACAAAATCAAACCACAAAAGGCTCTTCCATTTTTTACAGCTATTTTATAGCTGCCTAGAACAGTACAGAGAATATTTGTAAGAAGGCTAAACTCAGCCTGCCCACATCTGAATGTTACTAGTTTTAGAAAAGTACAGTTGGGGAGCTGGAAGTTGTGTCCTTTGTTAAGAAACTTATTGAGCTCTGGGTACACAAGCAGGATGCTTTCTTCTCATAGTAGGAGTCCCCTACTCTGAGAAGAACAGGTTTGGTGTAGTGTCCAAAGTTGTGTTTTTTCTTTTTTTTTTTCTCTTTTGAGACAGTTTCACTGTGTAGCCCAGGTTGGGCTAGCCTGGAACACATAGATCTACCTCTACCTCCAAATGTTGAGATCACTTTAAGAACTTTTATGATAATGCAGATTACAGAGCCCTGCCTTTTAATCTACTGATTAAACCCGGGTTTTGTGGTATTGTTGTTTGCTTTGTTTTTAAGATTTGTTAGCTGCCTTGTGGGTGCTGGGAACTGAACCTGGGTCCTCTGCAAGAACAGTAAACACTCTTAACTGCTGAGCCACTCTCCAGCCTCAAGGCTTTAATTTTTTAAAAATATTTTATTTATTTTATGTGTATGTGTGTATTGCCTGCATGTAGGTAAGTGTTCCCGTGTCGTGCAATGCCTGCGGAGGACAGAAGAGGCTGTCAGATCCCCTGGGACTGGTGTTACGGACAGTTGTTAGCTGCCATGTGGGTGCTGGGATTCAAACCCGGGTCTTCTGCAAGAACAATCAGTGTTCTTAACCACTGGCTGAGCCATCTCTCCAGCCCCGGCTTTAATTTTTTAAAATTACATTTTGATTTATTTATTTTGTGTGTGTATATGTGTCTGTCTGTCAGTCTGTTGGCCTGGTTTGGGTTTTTAGCTTTTGCCTGCCATAGTGCACATGTGGAGGCCAGAGTAGCACTTTTGGGAGTTGGTTTTCTCTTTCCACTGTATGGGTCCTACGAATTGAATGCTGGTTTTCAGGCTTAGCAGCAGGTGCCTTCACCCACTGAGCTATCTTGCCAGCCCCTTTTATTTTTGAGAGGAGGTATTGGTATTTTGCTAGAATTGGCACCAAAGCCCTGAGCCCAAGTGATTCCTCTGCCTCAGCCTCCTGACAAGCAGGGACTGGCATACACCTCTGTGCCTGATGCTCAGATTGATTTTGATGACTAGCTGGGTTTGGGATCCACTGGGTTTTCCATTGGCATCACCTGGGATGCTGTTAGTTTTAAGTAGTAGTAGCTCATGATTTTCATTTTAAATAAGAACCATGATCCTGCTGTTCCTTATTTAGCAGTATATCTACTACAGTGTTGAGCAAAGTCTTTAGGGTGCTGATAATCAGAATATCTTCATTAGAAAAGATCAAGTCATCAGCTTCTTTTTATAGGGGTTTGCAGAAGCTTTTTTGGAACATCTCTGGAAAAAGTTGCAGGATCCAAATAACCCTGCCATCATCAGGCAAGCTGCTGGAAATTACATTGGAAGTTTTTTGGCAAGGGCTAAATTTATTCCTCTTATGTAAGTAACCTAATTTTCCAAGTGATTTTTAATATCTTGCTTTAAAAAAATTATAGCAATTTTATGTGAAGTTGCAAGAAATATGCCTTATTTTTTGTCTATTTATATATAAAGTGAAAAAAAGTTCCCTATATTGCAAGATGTTTTTGTTTCAAAGAAGCAATTTCAGAATAAAATGCCTCCCATTTTGCATATAAAATGTACATAAGGGTTTTTTTGTATGATCCATGTGATTACACTTGAACTTGAAAGTCCATCTGTCTTCCTGGATAGCATACAGTGTTGTATACTCTTTTGATTCTTTTTGTAGGTTTGTCTTTCATTTGCATTCCGCATCAGTTGTGTCTGTTTGAGCTGAAGAAAAATCTTTTTAAGGTAATAAGGGGTGGGATGGAGCTCAGTGGTAAAGCGTGCACTTAGCACAGATGAAGTCCTGGGTTCAATCCCCAACGCTAGAACAAAAGAGGTAATACAAGATGTCTCTAGGAGGCCAGTTTCTTAAAAAATTTTTTATTATTTTTAAAAAATTTTATCTTAATGATTGTTTTAACTACATGTGTAGAAGTGTACCTGTGTTGTGCAAAGCCCATGGAAGCCAGAAGAGGGCATTGAATTCCCTGAAACTGGAGTTAAGGATGGTTGTTAGCCGCCATGTGGGTTATGAGAACCGAATCTGGGTCCTCTGCAAGAGCAGCCAGTGCTCTTAATCACTGAGCTATCTCTCTAGCCCCGATTTATTATTTTTATTTTATGAGTCTTTTGTATGCATGCATGTAAGTGTACCATGTGTGGTGTTTGATCCCCTGAAACTGGAGTTATGGACAGTTGTTAGTTGCTGTATGGGTGCTGGGAACTGAACCCCCGTCCTCTGCAAGTACAGCAAGTGCTCCTAACTGCTGAGATATCTCTTTAGCTCTGAGACCAGTTTCTTCAAGGGTGTCTGTAGATTTCTTTGGACAAAAATTCTTTTAGCCCCGCCCCCCCGCCCCCCCCCCAGCCCCAACCTTCCAACTAAAAGCCTTGTGGCTTCAGTTATTGAATCCCATGTGGAAGGAGCCCTGTATTTTAGCCACATTTCGGTTGGGCCTGGGAACCTAGCCAGTAAGCCCTCACCTGATAAGGAGAAATTCTGCTCTATCCCTTGGGTGCACACATACGTGCGTGCGTGTGTGTTTCATTTTGTTTTGTTTTTTGAGAGATGATCTTGCTCTGGCTTTAAAACTCTTGAACTTCCTGCCTCAGTCTCCTGAGTGCTAGAATTACAGGCCTGGCTCCTTGGGATGTTCCTAAGGCCTGCCTATTGCTCCTAAGAAGGTAAGTACTATTCCACCTTATAATGACAAGGTTGTCTTCTACTACTCATCCTTCTCCTTCCTCTGCTTTTCTCTGCCTATAGGTAAATTTTTTTTCCTTTTGTTGCTGGGGATGGAACCCAGGACCTCATGCATGTTAGGCAAGTGCCTACCACTGAGCTACACCCGTAGCCCATGGGTAATATTTAAAGAGGTCTGTGAATCTTCTGTAGTGGATAGGGAAAGGCAGGTGTGTGTTTTTGTTTCACTCTAGCTTTCTGATGAAGCCAGTAATATTGCCTTTAACTTTTATTTCTCCAGCACTGTAAAGTCATGCCTGGATCTTTTGGTTAACTGGCTGCATATGTACCTTAATAATCAGGATTCGGGAGCAAAGGCTTTTTGTGATGTTGCACTTCATGGACCATTTTATTCAGCCTGCCAAGCTGTGTTCTACACTTTTGTTTTTAGACACAAGCAGCTTTTGAGTGGAAACCTGAAGGAAGGTCAGTATTATGGGACTTAAGCTCTATTAGTGTACTTGCTGCCCTTTGTTGAGATTTGTGTGTGTGTTTGTGCACATGCTTGTACATGTGAATGCAGTGCCTGAAAGAAGGCATCAGATCCTTGAAGCTGGAGTTTATAGGTAGATGGGAGCCGTTTGACTTGGGTGCTGGGAATTGAACTCTGGTCCTCTGCAAGAGGAGTACACCTGCTGAGCCATCTCTCCAGCCCCTTTGTTGAGATTTTGTTGTAAGCAACCCATAGATCCACTCCTATACAAATTATTTCAAGCCACTCAATTGCCCCTAAAAATCCCTTGCCGCCTTGTCTTTAGTTATTGGTGGGTTTGAGACTGAGAGCCCCGTCTTCAGAGTGTGTGAAACATGAGTTATGTCAGAGATGAGTGTGAAGGCTTGTCAGGGCTTGTGTCAGCTTAGGCATAAGTCAGTCTGTTTGCCTTATAGTAGCCAGAGAAGAGCCAGAGAACAGGTCCTCTTAAAACACCAGACTTAAACCCAGGGAAGGTCTTTGCTGGTGGGATTAGAAGTGGAAGTAGGTGAGGCTGCTTTCGAGCCCGTGATCATAATTATGTTCCTCTGCCTGAAAGCTTGAGCGCTAACCCACTACTTTCTAGTTTTGCTGATTTAGGAGGGGTGTAACTTAGTCTGCCAGGTGAAACTTAATAAATTAATGTAATTTTAGTTAAAGGTGTCCCCAAGAGAAAGATAAATGAGGCCAATTTGTGTAGTTCTCTTTCTTTGCTTTTCTTTCTGATACAGCCTCCTCAAAGCCCCACCATGAATCATCCTGGCCCAGCCTCCCAAATGTTGGGGTTATAGATCTGTGGCACTACACTGAGCTCCATTAATTTTTCATGAAAAATTTAAAAATTTTTGATAGCTGGACTGGAGAGATGGCTCAGCAGTTAAAAGCACTCACTGGCTGCTTTTGCAGTGGACCTGGGTTCGGTTTCCAGCACCCACAAGGCAGCTAACAGTCATCCCTAACTCAAATTCTAGGGTAAACCACACCCTCTTCTGACTTCCATGGGCATTGCACGACATAGGTGCACTTACATACATGTAGGCAATATACTCATACACATAAAAAATTTTTTTTTGATAGCTGTTTCCTCTAGACCAGGGCTTTTCAACTGTGGCTCTGTTGATATTTCGAGCTAGCTAGTCCTTGACTGCATGGGGGAGGGGGAAGCCCTGTTCATTGTCTCACCTCCACATACCTACAGTACTACAGTAGCCTTTACCACCTCAGCTGTGACCACTGTAACTATTCAGTCAGTACCACATGTCCTCTGAGGACGTGTTCTCATGGAGTGACAACTACAATGCTAAATCCAAGCTTGCATGTGTTTTGTTGCATATTTTTAACATATATTCTACATGTTTCTAAAAAGATGTAGAGGCTGGGTGAATTGACTCAGATAAAGGTGCTTTTGTTAACCTGAGTTTGAACCCTAGAACTCACATGGTGGAAGGAGAACCAACTCCTGAAACTTCTCTTCTGACCTCCATACACATGCCCTGGCACTTGCACACCTACACACCTACAAACACAATATATAAAATACAAAAAAAAAATTGCTTTAAAGATGGGGGTGTGTGTTAATATTAGTTGTATGAACTACTCGGGCAAGGTAAGTAAAAATCTGTTTTCTTTTGCATATTTGAAGGGCCAGGAATCTTTCTGATGTAATTATAAAGATTTTTTTTAATTTATGTGTATTGGGTATGCTTATGCCACAGTATGATTGTACTGGTCAGAGGACAATTTGCAGGACTCATTTCTCTTCTCCTACAGCGTGGGTCCCAGGGATCAAACATATGTTGTCAGGCTCGGTGGTAAGTGCCTTTACCTGCTGAGCCATCTCACCAGCCCTAGGCCAGTAATCTTGATTAGAGAGGAAATACTTCTGCAAGCAAATGCATCTATTTATGTTATTTTAAAATTGTTTTGAGATGGCCAGGTGTGGTATTGCACGCCTTTAATCCCAGCACTCAGGAGGCAGAGGCAGGTGGATCTCTGTTAGTTTAAGGCCAGTCTGGTCTACAGAGTGAGTTCCAGGACAGCTGGGGCTACAGGGAGACCCTGTCTTCAAAAAAAGACCAAAAAAAAAAATTGTTTTGAGATGGATTAATGCTCTGTAGCCCAGGCTACCCTGAACTCCTAGTGATCCTCTTGCTTCAGCCTTCTGAGTACCTTGATTATAGGTATTGTGTCTCATACCTGGCTTTGTTGATGTAATTTTTATTTATTTATATTTTCTGTGTATATGTATGTATTAGCTTTTTTTTTTTTTTTTTTTTTTTTTTTTTTTTGAGACAGGGTCTCCCTGTAGCCCCAGCTGGCCTGGAACTTACTGTGTAGACCAGGATGGCCTTGAAGTCACAGAGATCCACCTGCCTCTGCCTCCCAAGTGCTGAAATTAAAGGTGTGCACCACTGCGCCCAGCTTATTTGGTTCTTTTTTTTAAAAAAAAAAAATTAATTTTACATGTATGAGTGTTTTGTCTGCATGTGTGTGAGTGTACCTGTATTGTGTAATGCCAGCGGAGGCCAGAAGAGGACATAGACTCCCCTGGAATTGGAGTTAACAGTTAGCCACCATATGGGTGCTGGGAACTGAACTGGGTAATCCCAGCCCAGCTTGTAGGGGGGAATTAGATTCATGAGTTATGAGAGAGCTCTCACTTTTTGTTGAGAGAGAATGTCAGAGGGGCAGAGAGAGAAATACAAGCAACATACCTGGAAACAATGTTTAGCTTTACTGTTAGGACATACAAGTTGGAGTGAGTCTGTTGTGTTTTTACCCGTCAGGATTTTAGCTCCAGTCACATCCAATGCTCTCTTTATCCCCTCCAGACACTCAGCATGTCCTGTGATTAGAAACATTCTGAGTTCTAGATTGTCATGTAATCCTACAGGCTGCTAGAAACATGCTTATTGCTTCCTGGGTCTTTAGAAAAATTAATGGTTTCTTTTTTTAGAAAAGCTGCCCTAGTTGTCAACAGATGTGGTGAATCTGGTGGTGATAAATATTGGGTGCGGGTGGAGGGTGGGGAGTCCTGGGGAATCAAGACCAAGGCCTTATGATAATTTGTACATTTAACGATGTCTTGGACTTTTTGATTACATTTGTATCTCCTGAAAATCTTTTCTTTTTTCTTTTTTTTTTTTTTAAAAACAAAGGTTTGAGGTATCTCCAAAGTCTAAATTTTGAACGTATAGTGATGAGTCAGCTGAACCCTCTGAAGATCTGTCTGCCATCTGTGGTTAATTTTTTTGCTGCCATCACAAAGTGAGTAATTTGCATTTTTCTTTAATGGATGTTTTCTAAAAGTAAACATGGGGGTTGGAGAGATGGCTCAATGGTTAAGAATACTAGCTGCTCTTGCAGAAGACCTGGGTTTGAATCCCATCATCCACGTGGCAGCTAACATCCATTTATAATTTCAATTCCAGGGCATCTGATGCTCTATTCTGTTTTCTGGGACTACTGTAAGACATGGTGCACTTATACATATAGGCATAACACAAAATAAAAATTTTTAAATTAAAATAAAAGTAAAGCCGGGCGTGGTGGCACACGCCTCTAATCCCAGCAGAGGCAGAGGCAGGCGGATCTCTGTGTGTTCAAGGCCAGTCTAGTCTGCATAGTTCCAGGACAGCTGGGGTCAGGGAGCCCGTCTCAAAAAGACCAAAAAAATAAAAATAAATAAAAGTAAATGTGTGGTATTGCCTCAATTCCTGCTCTGTGCTGAGGCACTGAAAATCAATTTGTTGTTGTAAAGTTCCAATATATATTTTTGGAGTAATGGCATGTGGAAAAAAACCAATAGTTCTATTGGGAATACTGTATCGCAGCTTTCTTTTATACCTTGGTATCATTGAGAGTCACTCCTGATTTTTATCCTGAGGGCCCTAGGCACTTTGAAATACTTTAATTGGCAAACTAGTAAGCTGAGAGGTCCAAACTAAAGATAATTCAGTGATACCTGTAATAGTAACAAAAATAAACTGGATGGGAGGTAAGTGTCCCCAGTAGAAGATTGTCTTAGGAAGGACCTATACTACCCTGGGTCTAGTGATGGTAGCTAATGTACAGGCCAGACACTATTCTAAGCACTTTACATAGAGCTCATTAAATCCTAACATTGACTCTGTGACTATTTTTTGTTTTTGAGACTACATCTTAATATGTGTAGCCCTGACTGGCCTGGAACTTGCTATGTAGATCAGTCTGGGCTGGAACTCAGAGACCCACTTGCCTCCCAAGTCCTGGAATTAAATTCGGGGTACCACTGTGCCTTGCCTAGTTTTGTGTTTTTGAGGTAGAGTCTTATGTAGCCCTGGCTATCTATAAATTCCCTTTGTACCTAAGGTTGGCTTTCAACTGATCTTTTTGACTCCAGTTCCCAATTGCTGAGATTACAACCTTGCTACCACTCCTGGCTTTAAACCCTCATTTATAAATGGGGAGATGGAGGCACAGAAATTAAATTCCTTGTATAATGCCATTGCTAATAGCAGAGCTGAAATTTTAATTCATTCATTTTGTTTGCTTGGTACCAAGGGTTATGCATAGAGCTTAGAGCTCTGATTTAAAGTAGGTACTTGCTGGGCATGGTAGTACATGCCTTTAGTCCCAGCACTCAAAATGCAGAGGCTGGGGGATCTCTGTGAGAGCCAGGCCATCTGGGAAGACTCTGTCTCAAGAACAAAAAGGGAAGAAAAACAAAACACCCCCAAAACCAAACTGTAGACAGTTGGTAGTGAGATGCAGAGCCATTGTTGACTTAAGCAAAGCTCTTGAGTTAATCCCAGTTCTCAAAAAAAATAAAGGATTAAAAAAGGGAAATAAACTAGTAAGCCAAAGTGTGGATCAGCATTGAGGTGCCTGTAAGTTGCTGCAGATTGGAAGCAGCTGCCAAAGGCTGATGAAGTAGAGAGGAACTTTGAGAAGCCCAGCTTCATAAAGGGTGGCTCTGACCTCATTTCTAGTCAAGTAATTCAATGTGGGTCTCATGAAAAATTTGGCAATCTTTTACTGCAATAAAACTGACTCAAAATCAAATGGGTAATGAATTTGAGGTGTTTCTGAAAGTGCTTTTCTGAGTTACACTTCACAATTTCATTGCAATGTGAGTTCTGAACACACAACATGAAAACTGTACTGTGAGTGCCTTCCTGTCATATAGTGCCAACCAAAGCTACCTAGAACACTTCAGTTCAGTTTGGGGCTACAGCATGGCATGAATCTCCGTGTTTTTACTGTACATAAAATTTATGTTTTCTGCTCTTACAGTAACAGTGATATCACTGGGCGTGGTAGCACACACCTTCAATCCCAGCACTTGGGAGGCAGAGGCAGAGGCAGGTGGATGTTTGTGAGTTCTAGGCCAGCTTGGTCTACATAGTGAGTTCCAGTACAGCTGTGGCTACAAGGAGACCCTGTCTCAAAAAGACAAAAAAAGAAAAAGAGTGATGTCATTATAGAAAACAAAGGCTTAATATTTTCCTACCATTATTCCTCAGTATATAGATATTAAATCAGCATGTCTTTGTGCTGTAATTTTGTTAATATTTGATTTTTAAACATTGCTGTTTGCTTTGAATCTCATGAAAAAAAATCTTTAAATGAATTTTCACTTGGGAACAGCACTGACCAGCCAGTGAGCCCAGGGATCCACCTGTCTGCCTCCCTAAGACAGATTAAAGTATGCACTGTACCTGGCTTTTTTTTTTTTTTTACATGGGCTAGAGATGGAACTCCAGGCTTCATGCTTGTGCTTCATGAAGTACTTTAATGACTCAGTTATTTTGCCAGCCTCAGTTTTTCCTTCTAGTAATCAGATACTTTTCGTTCATTCATTCATTTTTGAGACAAGGTTTCCCTGTAACCCCAGGTTTCCCTGTAACCCCAAATCGGTATGTAGATCAGAGTGACCTCAGACTCACAGAGATCTGCCTGCCTCTGCCTCAGAGTGCTGGGATTAAAGATTTTTTATATATAATGAGCTTAGGAAGTAACAGTTCATTGAAAATGAGCCAAACAGGTTGCATTGTAGCTCAGTGGTAGAGCACTTGACTTGCATGCATAATGAGGCCCTGGGTTCTCCCCCAAGCACTGCAAAAAAATTAAAAAGTATAGTGTGCTGGCTTACTCCTTTCATTCTAGCCTTTGGGAGCTGAGATCAGAGGATCAAGAGTTTGAGAGTCTGGCTGGGCATGGTGGCGCACACACCTTTAATCCCAGCTCTCTGGAGGCAGAGGCTGGCAGATCTCTGTCAGTTCAAGGCCAGCCTGGCCTACATAGTGATTTCCAGGCCATCTGGAGCTACAGGGAGACCCTGTCTCAAAAAGACCAAATGAAAAGAGTTTGAGGGTCTGTCTAGGATGTAAAATGAAGTGGGAAGAAGGAAAATAGCTTGGAGTACCTGGTGTATGGCTCATGCCTATAATCCTAATACTTGGGAGTTTAAGACTGGAGGACTGTCAAGGCAACAGGGACCCTATCTCAAAAAACAGTTCCAGTCAACTCCTTCAGTAAAGTTTTTTTTTTTTTAATTTTTTATTTTCTAGCAGCTTCAGAGTCTAATTTCTTTGCTTCCAGTAAATACTGAGTCGCTTCTTTACTAGTCTTAATTGTTTTGTAAACAAAATAGGAAACTACCTAATCATGTGAACTGAGTTTTAACATTGCAGTGTGCTAGTTTTTCATACCTATTACTCTCGGCCCAGTGTCATATTCTGTGATGAGTTGTTTTTCTTTCTCCTTAGCAAACTTTCAAGTATGTGCCGAGAGAACTGTACCCTAAAAGTCCCTGTTTTTTGTGAACATTTTTTCTTGCGTTCATATTCAGCAATGTCTGCCATTACAATTGTCATATTTTTGGATGCCATATCCTTGCAAAAGCGATTAAAGCATGGTGGTGGTGCTCCATCTGTTTTGCTTTTCTGTTCCACAGTAAATACCAGCTAGTGTTCTGCTACACTATCATTGAGAGGAACAATCGCCAGATGCTCCCAGTTATTAGAAGTACAGCTGGTGGGGACACAGTGCAGACCTGCACCAACCCACTAGACACCTTCTTCCCCTTTGATCCCTGTGTGCTTAAGAGGTAGGTCCTCTTACCCAGTTGACCCTGGTGGTTGTAAGCTTGTGTGGAACATACTTGCTCTTCCCAAGGCTGGAATTAAGAGTTGTTTTTTCATAGGTGGCCTTCTTAGCTTTTAATTAGGCTTGTGATCACCTTGCACAAATGTCAGGGGTCCCAGACTGCCTGGAGGGTTTTTGAGTGTCACATATATACCAGGGTGTGTTCATCTTTTCCTAGGCAGAAACCCAGAGGGATAATTCAGCCTTTTTGTTTATTTTTTTTATTTTTTATTTTTATTTTTTGGTCTTTTTGAGACAGGGTCTCCTTGTAGTCCCAGCTGTCCTGGAACTCACTATGTAGACCAGGCTGGGATCCACCTGCCTCTGTCTCTCAAGTGCTGGGATGTTTTTTTTTTTCTTTAAACTGGTTTAAACATGTGAGGCTTACAGGTCAAAGTGTCCAGGATGATGCTGCCCATTCTTGGCCTTGTAATTTTTTTTACCAACATGCTCCTTTAAAGACCACAACCCAGCCTGTTGCCCAGTGACTTATCTAAATAGGTTACCCTGGAAAACTACCGTGTCTTGGCATTTTTATAAAGTAGCAGTATTTTGCTTGTGACACTGTTTCTAACTAGCACGTGAGAATGGCTGTTCCTAAGTCCTGATTGGCTAGTACTCTATTAGTTGATTTTCTAGACTTTAATGTTTAGTGGATTCCTGTAGGAGTTCCAGAATATTAGTCTTTATTTGGATGTACTGATTTATCAGTCCAAAAAATATTAGAGCCAGAAATAGTTTTCCTTGAAATATGTGAGACAATAGATGTAGAAATCTGACCTGTGTGGTACAGTGAAGTCTTAGTGGAAGGGTCTGTTAGTCAGAGTGTTCCACACAGAATGCGCGGTTATGTCTGTGGTATTTACAGTTTGGTTTGGGGTATGGATCTGAGAAAAGGGCTAAGAGTATTTTGACTTTTGCCTATATACTTAATGACTTTGAAATGCCATCCTTGTTCACAGGTCAAAGAAGTTCATTGATCCTATTTATCAGATATGGGAAGACATGACTGCTGAGGAACTACAGGAATTGAAGAAACCCATTAAAAAGGTACATTTATGATCCTGCACACTTGGTGGAAATGTGGTTACAGGCTACAGTAGTAAACAGCCACGGTACATTTTATAAATACTGCATGGGTTTAAGCTTGAGTTATGTTTTTAATATTAAAAGAGGTTTTGTGGGTATTTATTTATTTATTTATTGAGACAGTGTTTTATGCAGTCCTGCTCCATCTGCTGAGTTCTGGGACCATACATATTTGCCACCATATTGTGTACTTTTTCTTTTTTTGTATGTGGTGGTATGTGTGTGTATGTTAGAGCCAGTACATACATTCTTGTGCATGGGTGTAGAGACCAATTTTCCTTGGGTTTGCCAGTTAGACTAGGCTGATCAGCCAATGGGCCTAAGGAGCCACCTGTCTGTCTCCACAAGGCAGGGATTAAAAGTAATTACCTTTTTTTCCCTTCAAGACAGGGTCTCCCTGTAGCCCCAGCTGGCCTGGAACTCACTGTATAGACCAGGCTATGTTGATCTTTCAGTTTTTGCCCTGCCTCTGCCTTTTGAGTCCTGGGACTTAAAGGTGTGGCTACCACACCTGGCTATGTACCCAGCTTTTAAAAATATGGGTTCTGAGGATGGGACCCAGGTCCTCGTGCTTATGCAGCAAGCACTTTACTGACTTGTCTTTTTCCCAGCTCCAATTTTTTCTTTTAATGATCAGGTACTTTATGACTTTGGGAAATAACAGTTGATTGAAAATGAACCATACAGGCTGCAGTGTATGAATGAGTCCCTGGGTTCTAACCTAAACACTGCAAAAAACTAAAAAAGTCTGTGTGGTGTCATATTTGTCATCCTAGCCCTTGGGAGGCTGAGATGAGAGGACTAGGAGTGTGAGGGCAGTCTGACGATATAAAAATGGAGAGGGAAGAAGGAAAGTAGCTGGTGTGTGTGTGGCTCAATCCTGAAATTCCAGCATCATAAAGCAAAGAAAGACTGTCTAAAGAAATGGAAAAGTTACTCTAATTTAGATCTTTACCACGCATCTGATGATTTACCCTCAAATACACATGCCACATGGTTTATTGTGAAGTTTACGTGGATTGCAGATCTTCAGGAATGTGAACAGAGGTGCAGAATTGCAGCATTCCCTTTTGTTCCCTAAGTCACTGTCAGGACAATTAGTACTAAACAGGAAAAGGAGATCTAAGAAGAAAATACTGTCACTGTCTGTACCCCTCTGATTTCCATACTCTACATCAGCTATAATGAACTTACTGAGAGAGGGGCTTTCACTGGCCTGGAACTTGCTAATTGGTCTAGACAGGCTGGCCAGGGACCCCCAGGGATCTGCCTGTTTTCAGTTTCTGCTTCCTCAATGCTGGGTGCCACCAGAAAAACTCCCCATCCCAGACATGAAACTGCTCCTCAATTGACTAGGCTATTTTCCTGGCTCAGGAAAATTTTTTTTTTTTTTTTTTGTTTTTTGAGGCAGGTTTTCC